GAAAGAGGCCTGGTCAAATTGGGGAAGCAGAACCTGCTAGGAGGTGACAAAGTCTAAAAGTTGAAGTTTTGTGAATCTTGTGTATTTGGTAAATCCTGTAGGGAGAAGTTTAACAAAGGCAAGCAAAGAACACATGGATCCCTGGATTACATTCATGCTAATCTGTGGGGGCCTGCAAGGAATCCTTCACACTCAGGTGCAAGGTATTTTCTATCCATCGTTGATGACTATTCCAGAAAGCTATGGGTATTCATTCAGAAGATGAAGGATGAAACTTTTGAGAATTTCAAAAGTTAGAAGATTCTGGTCGAAACTCAAACTAGAAGAAAGGTTAAGAGGTTGAGAACCGACAATGTCCCTGAATTTTGCAACGAAACGTCGGAAGTTACTATGTTGAGTCTGGGATTACAAGGCATAAGACTGTAGCAGGTACTCCTCAACAAAATGGCTTAGCTGAGAGATTCAATCGAACAATCCTTGAAAGAGTTAGATGCATGTTGGTTAGTGCTGGATTGAAGAAGGTGTTTTGGGCGGAAGCTGTTTCGACAACAGCTTACCCGATAAATAAATGTCCCTCGATTGCCTTGGGAATGAAGACACCTGAAGAAGTTTGGTCAGGACATCCACCTATTCTCGATATATTGAGAGTATTTGGTTGTGTGGCCTATGCTCATATTAGGAAATACAAGGTCGAACTTAGAGCTCTGAAATGCATATTCATGGGATACCCTTAAGGAGTCAAAGCTTATAGGCTATGGTGCCTAGAGCCAGATCACAGGAGGTGTATCACTAGTCGAGATGTAGTTTTCAATGAAGCAGAGATGGCTTTCAAGAAAACTGATAATGTTGACGAATAGATGGAACAAGGAGAGATTCTTGTTAAGGTGGAGCATGTTGATGCTGAATTGCGTACCCCGGGTGAAGCCAAAGAAGAAGCAGAAGATGTTGTCGAAGATGAGGAGACTGATAATGACTACCTGCTAGCAAGAGACAGGTCGAGGAGAGTCATCAAGCCACCTCAGAGACTTGGCTATGCAGATCTTATAGTTTATGCCTTAATCTCTGCAAGTAAGGTTCTAGACGAAAAACCTAGAGACTATAAGGAAGTTATGAGGAGTCGAAAGAAGACTGAATGGCTGAAGGCCATGGATGATGAGATGAAATCTCTTCATGATAACAACACCTGGGAACTGATCAAGAAACCTGCTAGAGCTAGGTTAGTCAGCTGTAAATGGATTTTCAAAGTTAAGGAAGGAATCAAAGGAGTAGTGTCGAAGTGGATTTTCATCAGAAGTCAGTTCTACCACTGTGTTTACTTCAGATTTCGACGGGTTAATTCATTTGTTATTTTGTTGCTCTATGTGGATGATATTCTTATAGAAAGCAACAATGTCAGAGAGGTAATGAGGGTGAAGGTTGAACTCAATAAAGAGTTTGACATGAAGTATCTTGGAGCTGCGTCTAGGATTCTTGGGATTGACATCCGAAGAGATAGAAAGCAGTCGAGATTATGCTTATCTCAAGAGGCATACCTATGAAAGATTCTTGATAAGTATGGTATGTCGAATTCAAAGCCTGTTGTGACTCCGACAAACCCTCAATTCAAGCTGAGTATAGATCAGTGTCCCAACGTTGATGTTGAAAGAACTTATATGAATAACATTCCATATGCTAATATAGTGGGTTCTTTGATGTATGATATGGTATGTACTAGTCCTGACATAGCATATGCAGTAAGTCTTATAAGCAGGTACATGGAAAATCCTGGAAAGGCTCACTGACAAGCATTGAAGTGGATTTTAAGGTACATAAATGGGTCTCTGAATAGAGTCCTAATTTATAGTGGTGCCTTGGGTGAAGATAGTAAAGCATCAATCGAAGGATATGGCGTCTCTGATTATGCAAGTTGTATGAATTCCATAAAATCTATTTTTGCATATTTGTTCACTATGTTTGGGACAACAATCAGTTGGAAAGCAAAACTTCAGAAGTTCGTTGCCTTATCAACCACCAAAGCGAAATATATTGTCCTAACTGAAGTTGTGAAGGAAGCATCGTGGCTTGAAGTTTTTGCAAAGGAGCTGAAACTTCAAGGTCGAGTTATCACTGTTAAATGTGATAGTCAAAGTGCAATACACATGTCGAAGAATTCAGCCTATCATGAGCGAACCAAGCACATTGATGTGAGGCTGAATTTCGTCAAAGGGGCAATCGAGCATGGAGAAGTCTAAGTGCTGAAGGTTTCGACAGATCATAATGTTGCTAATATGATCACCAAGACGTTGCCTAGTTGCAAGTTTTTCCACTGTATGCAGTTGATAAAGCTGCATGAAGAAAGCTGGTTTCTTGTTATAGAGTTATATCCAAAGTGGAGATTTGTGAGATGTTGGATCAAACTCTAGTATGGTCGAAGGATAGCTTCTGGTTCGACATGAATTAAGCATGAGGTCGAAGTTTGTTCGCATGCTGCTGTCGAAGATAATGCGTGTTGTAGTCGAAGTTTGTTCTAACATGCATTAGTCAATATTAGTAGGTTGTTAGCATATTGGATTAAGTCTTACTTGTAAGTCCAATTGTTTAAGTTAACTTGTATCATAAGTTAGCTTGTAATGAGTAATTGTTAAAAAGTCCATTAGGTTAGTGTGCTATTTTTCTTATAAATAGGATGCTAGTTTCTCAATCTTGGCATAAGAAAAAATAGGAAGACAAAATCCTAATTTCAAGAGAGAGAGGTTATATTGTTATTCTTTTATACTTGTAATCTTGTTCTAAGAATAAGGAAAGAATAGCAGTTTAATAACCAATCCTTGTTGTTTTACCTTGTTATCTTTGTTAGCCATAACCCTTGTGTGTTTCTTGATCATAAAGAAACAGTTTATGTTTCAAGACATCCGATTCACAACACTAGGCATGACAAGAAAACCCGGGCTTGCAAGGACCCGATCCAAAATTAACGAGGGAAACCCGATTTGATTGGTGCGGGTGCAGAAAAAACCAAATTTGTAATTGCGGGGTGGGGGATGCTATTACTCGTCCCACCCGGTCTTATGGTACTTACTTTAATACCCATATTTAAATTATTTTATTACACATTTATTCACTTTTGAAAAAGTAATTAAAAATCCTCATTAGTCATTTCTCACCATTCACTCAAACCCTCATCTTTAGAAACAAGTTTATTATTAAAATGGTCAAGTTTTTAATAAAATTATTAATTTTTATTACTATTTAAAAGAAATCATTTTTTTCGGGTGGGTGCGGGCAAATCCATTTTCATGGGGGGTGGGTCTGGGTGGTAAATTTTCACCCCCGACTAGGTTTGGGGGCGGGGGCGGGTTTGTAACAGGGAGACGGGTGCGGAGCTAGCTAAACCCGCCCCCGCCCCACCTCGTTGACATGTCTACTCCACGCTTACCGCACCAGCTTGTTGTGAAACGATGTCGCCAATAACAAAACAAAGTTACGAGATAAAGATTGAGTTTCTTGAACAAACACAAGAAACCCTATTACGTTTTACAAAACGGTGAGAGAAGAAGGAAGAAGAAGAATAGAGAATTGGTTTAAACTGTTTTACTATTCACTTTCTCAATAATGGTTCAAAGATTACAAGTGAATACCAACCATTAACCTCTCTCAACAACCTAAAAGAATTAGTCTATTTATAGACTTATACACCGTTATTCTTTACTTTCTCTTTGAGACAAGATTACAAGTGTTATAGAATAGCAAATAACCTCTCTAAGCGTAATTAGGATTTGCACCACACCCCAAAGATGAGAGACTAGCATACTATTTATAAGAAAACTAACATACTAACCTAATGAGTTTTTACACACAAGCTAACTTAGGGAACAATCTAACTTAAACAATTGAGCCTACAAGGAAGGCTCAATTCGACATACTAACTTAAATTACAAATTAATATATTTCAACAATATGTTCGAACAGACTTCGACTATTACATACACAACTTTTGTCGAAATATCAAGCTATCATTGTCGACACTAGAGTTCGATTCAAAATACCACACAAACAACATTCATCATCATCTATGGGCTCCAAAAATCAGAAGCTCTGTCATATCATGTTAATAACTAGTATTTCACATATGAAAATTGTAATTACAATGCTAAAATAATGTTAGTTAAATACATAGAAAAATAAATTTAATAGACTTTATTTAATTCATCACAGACTAATATTTCAATTTGTTTACTACTAGGATTTCAAACATCTACTTCTCAGGAGCCATTAATCATAGTTAGGATTTTAGATCATTTTTAAATACTGATCTACCGCGCCCATCATAAAACTTGCCGTGCCATAACTCTCCTAGCAACAAGTACATACAGAATAACTTGGTAACATTTATGGCTACTTCATTTGTTTCCTTATTAACTGATGAGCTAGAAAAGCACCAGAGCTACTGAAAGGACTCTGTCAAATTAACATTTGGCAAATAATCACTCTTCTAGTCTTCTTTTCTCTTTTCATTCACTTTTGTGTGGTTGGATATGTGATTAATGGTGTTACTATTGCATAAGGATGTGTAGGTCTTAGTATTTAAAATGTTGTTGTAACAACCATTGTCTATTCAAGGTAGTTTATACAAGAGGGTCACAATAGACCCTTTAGCTACCCCATCACCATTTATGAAACACCTTGGGTCAGTTGAGGATGAAATAGGTTGAAGGGTATTTAAAGCACTCACTACCTAATTCAGCAAATGAATGAAACTTATTTCAACTTTGGCCGCATACGACAAATAGTTTTATATACACGCTTTTTTAATTTCAGTCGTAAGAGTTTGAACTTGTAAAATAGTTGTAAAATAGTCATTAGTGTGTCACGTTAATACTAATTTTTACCTTTTCTAATTTTTGAAAAAAAAAAGTGTCGGTTTGCTTGCAATTAGAGTTGTATATTATGATATATATTTGCTAAGAGTAAGAAACTAAACACAAACCAAAATTTGCAGAGTTGTCCAAGTAGTGTGCAAGATGAGTCTCTTTTGGTTTCTACTTTTCACTGCACATCTTGCAATAGCATCTTCTCTTGTGGAATTTGAAGGCATGTATCTCAACCTTTTGAGGTTTCATTTTTCTGATATTAGAATGATTAGATTTTAAATTTTGTTTAACCACATATGTATACTAAACTTGCAAACTGTTGATTATGCAGATAGTTTATTAACTCACAAGCATGGCGGCGTGCATCTCAAATTGCATCATGTCAGAAGTCTCAAGTCATCTCCGAAATCCAAATCATTTTTATTCTCTGACATGTTCATGAAAGATCAGGAGCGTGTCAGGTACCTTCATTCCAGATTATCCACCGATTCTGATTCCAAAAATAAAGTACCAAAACCAAAACTTGTCAGCATACCATTGAAATCAGGTTTATTAATAGGTTCAGGGAATTATGTTATAAAAATAGGACTTGGTAGCCCTACAAGGTACTATAGCATGCTTGTAGACACAGGTAGTTCCTTTTCATGGCTGCAATGTCAGCCTTGTACTATATACTGTCATGCACAAGATGATCCTATTTTCAATCCTTCCTCGTCTAATACCTATAAAACCTTACCGTGTTCGTCCCCTGAATGTTCTTCTCTCAAATCTTCCACACTCAATGAACCAAGTTGTTCAAAAGTATCTAATGCTTGCGTCTACAAAGCAAGCTATGGCGATTCATCTCTCTCGCTCGGTTACTTGAGTCAAGACGTGTTAACCATAACACCATCAGAGAAACTACCGAATTTTGTATACGGATGTGGACAGGATAATCAAGGTTTGTTTGGAAGGTCTTCAGGTATAATTGGTATGGCCAACGACAAACTCTCCATGCTTGCGCAATTGTCTGGAAAATATGGAAACGCCTTTTCCTACTGTCTTCCTACATCTTTTTCAGCACCGAACTCTACCAAGGAAGGTTTCTTGTCAATCGGAACATCATCATTGACACCTTCGCCGTACAAATTCACTCCTTTACTTAAGAATCCAAAAGTTCCTAGCTTATATTTTATAGATTTGAATGCGATCACTGTGGGAGGAAAGCCACTGGGAATCGCAGCATCGAGTTATAAGGTTCCTACTATCATCGATTCTGGCACGGTTATTACAAGGCTACCTTCGCCTGTTTATACAGCCCTGAAAAATGCTTTAGTGGCGATCTTGTCCAAGAAATACAAACAAGCACCAGGAATTTCTTTATTGGATACTTGTTTTACAGGTAGTGTTAAGGAAATCTCAGAAGCAGTGCCTGTGATCGCGCTTATTTTCGGAGGGGGTGCCGAGTTACCACTTACAGGTCACAATACCCTCTTGGAACTTGAGAAGGGAGTTACTTGTTTGGCTATAGCTGGTAATTCTGAGACTAGCTCTATTGCCATTATTGGGAATTATCAACAGCAAACGTTTAAGGTGGTTTACGATGTTGCCAATTCCAAACTTGGGTTTACACCTGGTGGCTGCCAGTGATTCCTAACCAAATCAATTTCAGTTCTCAAAGCTCTCTGTGACAATTTATCAAATACGTTGTATGCAAATTTTTATGTTACAATAAATGTGTATGTGATGATGTATCTTGTGAAAACAAGAAAAATGATAAGTAAATACTTACATAAAACCTGCAGTTATGGTAGATTTTTAAGGGGAATATTTAATTGCAAAGTTGGTATTTGTATAGTGCATGTATATAGCTATACATTATGAAATGTTTTATGAATTAGATAATTATTGTGGCCATCGATCATGTCCTAATTCTATCATTTGACAAATTATCAATTTGAAAAGGTATGAAATAATTATTTTACTTCGGTAAATGTATATAGTCGAATCTGAGAAATTTTACCCCATACCCCCTACATAAAATTTTTTGGATCAAAATACCCTTGTATAAAAATTTATAATTTTTTTCATTTGTTCACCGGGAAGACTTTTTGCAAGTCTTCCGCTTCATATTTTTCGGTTGTTCACCGGAAAACTTTTTGGAAGTCTTCCGGTTCACTTTTTTTAGTTTGTTCACCGGAAGACTTTTTGCAAGTCTTTCTGTTCATATTTTCCCGTTTGTTTACGAGAATACTTTTTGGAAGTCTTCCGGTTTATTTTATTTTTTATTTTTAAATTTTAAAATAAATTATTGACATTATGTATCATTTTTCTCTCTCCCATTCATCTTTCATTTTATATTAAAAATTTATTATTGAACATCAATTCATTTTTTTCTTACTCAATAAATTTAGATTTTTGCCTTAAATATATAGTTTTCATATACTGAGAACTTAAATTAGAATAAAAATATTATTAATAAAATAGTTGAGACAAGTGAGTAAAAAACAAATAGATCATAACCTTTTTCATTATTTGCTTGTTGGAACTATATTATTATTATTATCAATATTATTAAGTTTTTTATTATTATAATTATTATATATATATATATATATATATATATATATATATATATATATATATATATATATATATATATATATATATATATATATATATATATATATATATATATATATATATATATATATATATATATATATATATATATAAAATAGTTATTTTTATATAATAACATAAGAATGAATCTGAACTATTAAATTTTAAAATAAACTATTGACATTATGTGTTTGTTTTTTCCTCCATCATTTATTTTATATTAAAAATTTTATTATTGGACATCAATTCATTTTTTGTTTTTTCAATGAATTCAGATTTTTTCCTTAAATATATAGTTTTCAAATATTGATAATTTAAAGAATGATTAATATATGTTTCGGTCAATGTTTGAATCCAAAAACTTAAAATAATTATTTGATATTGGATTAAATAAGATTAAATGACTAAGAACTATAATTGTATATGATATATTCTACTTTTGATTTGAATTCATGAATAGAATTAAAAAATCAACGTTAAGATGATTAAAAATATTATAATATTTGACAATATTATATAAATGTTAATTTTAATTTTTAATAAATTATATGATAGGATAGTAAATAAAAAAATTATAATTGACAATATTAAAAATTAAAAAATTAAAAAAAAACATGAACCGGAAGACTTCTAAAAAGTCTTCCGGTGAACAAACGAAAAAAATATGAACTGGAAGACTTGCAAAAAGTCTTCCGGTGAACAAACGAAAAAAAATGTGAACCGGAAGATTTCCAAAAAGTCTTCTGGTAAACAAAAGAAAAAAATATGAACCGGAGAACTTGCAAAAAGTCTTTCGGTGAACAAATGAAAAAAATTATAAATTTTTATACGAGGATATTTTAGTTCAAAAAATGTGAATGTAAGGATATGGGTATAATTGTAGGGTTAGGGGTAAAATTTCCTCGAATCTGATATAAATTTAAAAACCTTACATCAAATCTCAACTGATAATATCCATAAATCAAACAATAATATAAATAACATGATTTTTAGAAAAAAGAAACAACCATGTGTTTTTTTCTTTTTTTTTATTTCATTTAATATAACCGTTTAATTTGTTAAAATTTAGTGTACATTTTTTAGACCAAGATTTATACCTAATGTCAAAGTATTCTAAATCATATATATATATATATATATATATATATATATATATATATATATATATATATATATATATATATATATATATATATATATATATATATATATATATATATATATATATATATCGCAACTGCAAAAACATCCGGCGAAAAACAGAAGAGTCGCCCATGTTCGTTATTTATCCTAAAGAGAGGGAAAGAAAACGATCAGAGAAAACCTGACGAAAAAGGAAAAGACAAGGTCATCGCAACTAAATCTTGGGTTCGGGAGTCGACTACACAAGGGGAAGGTATTAGCACCCCTCACGTCCGTTGTACTCAACGGGATCCACGCTTATTGTCTAGTCAAAGGGTGTGTTTATCTATCTAAGCTACAGGCTCACAGGACAAAAGGAAAAAAATAGACTCGATAGAGCATCGCCGCTCTATGCCTACGTATTCCCTCGTGCAATGGGAAAGTCAGAGTCAACGTAGTTCAGAAAACTACGGGTGAAGGTGGGGAAAGTTGCTTGCCAAGACATCGCCGTCTTGTGCCTAGGTATTCTCATCTGGTATAAGAAATCAGAGCAAACGTAGTTCGGGCTGACACGACCACAAATTGGTTCAAGTGTTTTAGCCGAGTAAGGTTAAACCTTCGTTCTAGCAGTTAGGAACGATGTCTGTTTGCGGTAGAACCAAAGCTTAACAACACTCTTTTCTGAAAATGATTTTCAATTAATCCCGAAGGATAAAAGGTTTGAGGTTTTGTTTGTATTTTTTAGTGAAGTGAATTAATTTGATTTGTGATTCATGTTGCACTAAAGACTATGACATAGGAACGAATGTGTCGCATATCGTCCAAAGGACATATGCTAAACACTCTAGACAAGCGAGAGGATACCCCTCATTCATCATTTCCCATGTGCTTAAGGCTTGTAGCGTACAACATTCATCGTATTTATTAAACGAGTTAGAATGTGTTTTGAGATGAGAAGAGAGACGCGACCTCTAAGGGGAAACTAATCGACCCTAATGTTAGCATGCAAAGTGATCCTAAAGTTGGGCTTGAAAGAGGGGAAAAATCTACCCTTATGTTAGCATGCTTGGATTGAACACTTAATGTCTCCCCTACTCCCAAAGAGACTAGGGATCCTAAGGGAACAAGGCAAAGAAAACCAAGAAAACACCAAGTAAATCAATCACAAGTAGAAATGCAAGAAGGAATGCAACATGAAATGCAAGCACAAAAAAAGAGTGGGAGGAAAAAGTGTGGGGCAGCAGCCACCACAAGCACATCTCAACCAAGTAATGCAAGCAAAGGAAACAATGCATATGATCATCACTTCGAGCCACATCCATAAGCATGCATTCAAGTGGAAATCGAACACGCGTGTCGAAGAAATCATGATTAAACAATCAAGAACAGCGACACAATATCCAAAACATCTCACTCCAAATGCATCATATCGATCCATGAAGATTCAAAGTGATAGAGCACCAAAACAACCATGAAAAACAGCAAAACAGGTCTGCTGGCACAGTGTTAATCGATTAACACCAGGGGTTAATCGATTAGCCATTGAAATTTTTTTGAATATTTGAATATTTGTACTGGTTAATTGATTAACCAATTGGTTAACCGATTAACACTGTTCCAACAGCAGAAGGTAACAGTTAAAAAGTACTTTTCAGCAACTTATCCAAGGTGCAATCACTCCAATGATCATACAACCAATTAAGCACAAACTTAAACCAGAAAACAGGGATTCAATCCACATGTAAACGCATTTAAATAGCACAATCGCAATTCACATGAATCAAATCAACCAAAAGTCAATAAAAAATGAAGATCCACGTGATGATTATGCAAATAAGCTCAAAAAAGCATCAGATCTAGAATTCCAACCTACGAAGCGGAGAATTGCTTCGGTAATTGTTGATTTACTCAATTGAGCAGATCCAAGCAAGAAATCTGGAATTCCTTCAAGATCCAATTGAGTTCTTGTAGTAATAATGGAGATCCACCAAAATTAAGCCAAAATAATCCAAATAATCACTTCTAGATCCACTTCAAAATTCAGATCCCAAGCTTGCACAAAAATTGGTTCCAATGGAGAATCAAGAATGATGGATAAAGGTTTGAGCTCAAGAATTCATTGATTCCAATGGAGAATCAAAGAATTTCAAGAAAGAGCTTTAATGGAGTTTTGGTGAGAAAAAGTTGAGAGAAACTAGAGAGAATGAGAGTGAATTCTGAAATGAGACTGAAATTATGAGGATTGTCAGTGAGGTTTGGAGTAAATCAATTAAATACCCCTTAGGTTTGGATCCAAATGAGGTTTGAAATGTGGTATGTGAAAGTTGGTTTGGGATTAGGAATGGGAATTTGGAGGGAAAATGAAATTAACCAAAATTTGAAGTGGTTCTAGATCCTTCATAAGTATAAAATCAACTTCTCATGTGATCAAATTTGGACCCCAAAATGGCTGCCTTGGAAAATTCACGTGCAGAGCTGATTTTTGCCTTAGTTAATCGGTTAACCATATGGGTTAATCGATTAACACCTTCAAAAATTCAAATTTGACCTGGTTTTGACTTGGTTAATCGGTTAACACCTTGAAAATTTGAATTTTGGCGCCTTTTGGAGGGAAATCTGCACATTTGCCCGTTTTCAACCATTTTAAGCCTTGTTCAACCTCTGAAACTTGCTCTTGAATATTATAACCGTGAGAACGCTTGAGATGGCTTGGGGTGCTTCCTCCTGAGCTGAAAATAACCCTGCAAAACAAAATAAAATCGACCGCTCGATCGCTGGGCAAAATAAATGTCGGAACTGATGATGCTTGTTGTTCATTCTCTTGCACTAAAAATGAAACTCAAGCCACACAAATGCCTTGATCCCATGTCTCAAGAACAAATGCTATGATATGCAAAAATGCAAAA